CCACAATCCTCAGAAGGGCACCCAATCCAGTTTGCATAACCCTGGCTCGATTGAACCTAAGGACCAGCCCCAAATCCAGCTCCTCCTAAACTTCTGACCCACGAGGCCTTTACTCTGAAGTACCCCAGTCACAAGGCCAGTATCAGAAGAGGACAGCACCTGCAGACCCCTGTCTCCTTGGCTCTCTGCCCAAGCCACACTTTATATGTGTGGAGCATGTGGGGTCTGTTGTGGCACAGCACTGAGGAAGCCTCTTTTCAGGGAGCTGAGGAAGGTTATTCAAGGGAATACTAGAAATTTCAAGCTGGGGAAGCTATTTTACATACTAGATGTCCGGATAAGAAGAAATGAAACTCACTATCAGCCTGAAAAAGTAACTACTAATGGGAAGTAAGAGCCAAACCCCAAGGGGATTCTTCATGAGGACAGTTGACACACTTTCCCCCACTGGGCACGATTCAACCTTCCCTGTCTGCATCACCCACCTGCCTGCTCCCTACTAGCTGACCCTATTGCCGAGCAGGCTGTCTGAACCCAAATCCAGGAAGCCCAGATTTCTGAGCCTTCCCTTTGCAGTTCCAGAGCAGCCCCGCAGGGCTTGAGGTTGCTTCCCACTCTTGGGTCCAAGCTGCTAAGTTGCAGCACAGTACAAGGCAACTGCACCAAGAAGGCTGCCATTTTGCTGGGAAGTGAATTTCTTTTAAGATCTGTACACTGTAGAGAGGACCCTCAAAAATCTCCTTGTGTGCACGCACATCCAACTTCCCACCACTCTGTTCTTCCCTGCCCCCACATACACTGGTATTTCTTGTCTGGTCAGATTCCTCCATGGCTAAAGCAATGAAACTTATTGGATGAAACTTCCCAAAAAGATGATTAGGATCTCCTGGCCAGGGATGCCTTTGGACTTTCGAACTTTACCACCTCCCTTCTCTCTGACACCTGGCAATGGAGTATAGGAGAACAGGAAGGCAGAAAAAATAGGTCTGGGATGAGATCTGCATACCAGCCCTGGACTGCCTGCCTCTGGATTGCTTGTTGGGTGGGACAAATGTATATATATAATCCCCTCTTCTAAAAGTATGCTTAGTCAGGTTTTCTTTTCTATAGAAATTAGGAAATATTTTGGAGCGGGGGTAGAGGAAAAGAGGTATTTCCCCTCCCAAAACCGTCCTTTGAGTTCCCAGTGTACTCCCACTGGAAAAAATTATTTAAATACAGCTTAATAGCCATCTATTAGACATCTGCCATGCATCTGGATTTAAAGACAAACTGGAGTGAGGAGCTCCACTAGAGTGATGCAGTGTCATCATGAATTTCAAGAGGACAGGCCCTGTGTCCTCTTGAAATTCACATGACACTACATCCATCCACAGGTGCCTGGGTCCTCATTTCCTTCCCTATACCAGCTCTTCCCTTATACTGAAACCCAAACTCAAAATCTACTAACATGTGACGGTTGGCATTTATGTCTCAGATGTGACCTGTGGGTTTGGGACTTTTCCCAGTGGACTTTGAGGACTTTTCAGATGAACAAATGTCTTCAAAACTTGAGAGATGGCTCGGCGCCTGTGGCTCAAGAGGCTAAGGTGCCAGCCACATACACCCAAGGTGGCGGGTTCGTATCCCCAGCCTGGGCCCACCAAACAACAATGATGGCTGCAACCAAAAAATGGTCGGGCCTTGTGGCGGGCGCCTGTAGTCCCAGCTACTTGAGAGGCTGAGGCAGGAGACTCGCTTGAGCCCAGGAGTTGGAGGTTGCTGTGAGCGTGATGCCACGGCACTCTACCCAGGGGGATAGCTTGAGGCTCCGTCAAAAAAAAAAAAAAAAAACTTGAGAGATGTTGAGAATAACATCTTTGTTGTTCTTGCTGTTTTGTCTGTATGAGGGAACACCATCTTAACTTTACTCAAATGTTCATCTCTGTCTTTTGACATCAATACTATGCATTATGTTGATAGGGAAGATCTCGTCTCCATTTGCTAAGTAAACACCTGTAACCATTTAGATTCTGAAATTTTGAAGTTAGAGTGAATAATGATTTCAAATCAATAGGAAAAGGGTCAGCTATTCAACAAATGTGGCTTGAGATAAGTGGCTACACACTTCAAAACAAATAAAAAAGCCAGATCCTAACCTTAACCCTACTCAATGGATTATGGATTAAAGAATGATATAAACAGCTTCTACACACCTCCCTTCTCCCTGACACAGTATGTGTATTTATATATATTTCTTAAAGAAGAAAATGCAAGAGATGTTACCTGCTTCCCTAAATTGCTCTCTCTCTCTCCCTCTGAGGGTTTGACCTGTGCCCAGCCTTGCTAGCATGGCATTCTCCAGGCACACAGGGCACCCTGCTATGCCCATCTTAAGTATAGCTGGTCCCTTCCATGGGCAGGACTCAGTACTACATACCAGATTCAGAAAGCTTAACAATACAGCGTCCTGCTTCAGGGAGCTCATGGCTCACTGGGCAAGACAAGGTGTACACATGGACAGCAGCAATGTAGGAGTATAGATTTCCTTGTGAGGTTAGTATGGGGCAGGGTGGGAAATAAAGGCAGGAGAGATTTATGCAGTCTGGGTCAAGGAGGACCTTGACAGCCTCAGAGGGGGTTCAGGAACCCTGGCCTGCCTGGTCTGTCCTGCTGTGTCTACACCTGGAACACTCAGCCCAGAGAGAGAGTAAGCCCTAAAGGCTAAACCAGACAAAACCCTGTCTCAAAAAATAAATAAAAAATTTTAAAATTAAAAATTTTAAAGGAGGAACGGGTGGTGCCTGTCGCTCACAGGAGTAGGGCGCTGGCCCCATATGCTGGAGGTGGCGGGTTCACCCAGCCCTGGCCAAAAACCTCAAAAAAAAAAAAAAAAACGTAAAGGAGGGAGAGTAATTGGTGGGACCACACCTACGGTGCATCTTACAAGGGTACATGTGAAGTTTACTAGGTATAGAATATAAATGTCTTAACACAATAACTAAGAAAATGCTATGAAGGCTATGATGACCAGTTTGATGAAAGCATTTCAAATTGTATATAAAACCAGCACACTGTACCCCCTGACTGCCTTAATGTACACAGCTATGATTGAATAAAAAAAAAAAAAAATTGTAAAAGAATTAAAACTAAAAATAAAACAATTTAAATCTGTCAGGAGCACAAATTCCTGAATTAGCTCCCTTCCAATTTCTAGAAAACTTTCTCCCTTCACAATTCTTAGGTTTCTATATCGATATTTCCTGAAGGGCTGAGAGAAGAGGCCAAGGTCCCCAGGTCCTGCCCCACAAGTCGTCACAGCAGACACACGGCCCTTCCCTTCCATTCATTCCAGACTGTCTGAGCCCCAGGGCACCTACCCTGGCACAGCGACCAGTGGGGCAGGCTTAGGACTCCCTGCCATCAGCAATGTCCCTGTGCTGATGCTGCAAGGTGAGGAAATAGCAGAAATATTGGGGATGCCCTCCATCTGGGTCCACCTGTTACTTAAACCAAAGCTCCCTGCAAGGCAGGTACTATTGCCTCCTCAGGACAGGTGGAACACAGGCACAGGGAGGATGAGTGACTTGCCCTGGGTACAGAGGAACAGAGTCCCTAGGGACTCTCTGAAGTGGGGCAGTGAAAGGATCCCCCGGGAAGAAGGAAGACAAAGCAATCAAAGGACCCCCGGAGACTTTCTCAATGTCTGAAGAAATCCTGACCTCGCTGTCTCCATCACCCCTCAACCAAAAGTAGAGCAACGCTCCTTATCCCAGCCCCGCCTGGCCACCCTACATGCACACGCCATGCACACGTACACACACCATGCACACACACACACACGAGCAAATTCAAAACAAGACAACCAAGGCTGCTTTGGAAAAGGGAATCAGGGACAGGACCTGCTGACCAGACTTCATTGAATCCGGACTCATGTTCCTTGATATTTGTACAACTTCTAAACTTTAGATTCTGGCTATAGAAGCTTACAACTAAATAACTAAACTTATAACTACAACTAAATAACTAAACTTATAACTAAAAGAAATGTTAGGGGCAATTTAATCTAGATTTCAATCTACTACAGACAGTGCAGAGTAGGCTGAGGGAAGCAAACAGACACCCGAGCAACCTCGTGCACATTACGTGGTGACTCTGTGGTGTCTCGGCTTGCTCTATAAAAGGGAGACAGTGAGGGTCATGGTGAGGACTCCCTGCCTGACCTGTAACAAGCTCTCAAGAGGTGTGGACTAGTCCTACCACCTTCCCCCAAGTTCTAGGACATGGACCTCAGAATCTAAATGGAACAGAGAAGGAGCCTGGAGCATAGCTTGGGACTCCGGTCTGTGCTGTAGGAAGCCAGTTCAGTCTTGTCAAGGGTGGGTCTTCGAGCATAAAGTGGAAGACCCAAAAAGAAGCTTTGAAGATGTTCAACCCACACCCTCATTTTCACTTGGGGAAACTGAGGCCCAGAGAGCTAAGGTGACTTCCCAAGTTAGCAAGGAGAAGTCTTAGGTATTCAACCCAGGTTGGGGGGACCCAATTATTTCTCAATCCCGGTATATTCTGGAATGGCCAATTTGTCCACGTCACTGTGACCTAGGAATACGTGAATGGAACCCACAGCTGTGGGCCTCCACACACGGAGCAGCTGTTCTCCCCAGGAAATCAGCTTTTTTTTTTTTATTAAGAGGCTTACATTAATTTTTTTTTAAGAGCAAGAGGTACCCCATACTAAAAATAGCATTGCAGAAGTTCATCATCAACCCAGTCCTTTCGCTTACAATGCAAAAATTAAAATCTTTGAGCTCAACAAATGGAGAGGTCTAAGGGAGGAGCTTTAATTAAAAAAAAAAAAAAAGAGGGCTTTGCCAGGAAATTTGTGGCTTTCATGAATGGTGAGGCCTCAATAAGACACATACATATAAAAAGGGGACAGAGAGGTGAAGGTCTATACATTAGGGGCTTGGTCTTGCAAAACAAAACCACAAGCAGACTTGCAGAAGAAGGAGAGTTCCACCATGCCCAGCCTAGCACTGCTATGTTGCCTGGTCTTCTTGGCTGGGGTGGGAGCCCACCAAGGCCAGAGTATCCAGTCTGAGAACAGCTGCACCCACTTTCCGGCCAGCCTGCCTAACATGCTCCGAGAGCTTCGAGATGCCTTTGGCAAGGTGAAGACTTTCTTTGTGAGTATAATTCCCACCTGCCCTTTCTCTTTCTTCCTGGGACTGCCTGCACTAAGCCTTCTGCAGGAGCTATAAGAAGACTCTTTTTTCTGCTCCTCCTCCATCCCTAGCATCCAATCCCCCAAACTTCAATTTTTGAGAGTCCTAGATTAAGCTATAGGTTCAATGATTTAAGGTAACCCCAGAAGATAGAGCATAGATGCAGGAAAAACTGCCTAAGAAGGTAAATGCACTTTCTCCCATGCTCAGAAACATCTTTAGAGATTCTACTGGAGCTCTATACGTAAGTGGCTGGGAGAAATCAAGAGGGTCTGATCAGAGGCAAAGATGTTCCCTATGTCCCGTAGCAAGGAAGAATAAATTGCCTCTGCTTAGAGTATTTCCAGACCTGAAAGGCTGATGATGTGGGAAAGCACCATACCTGGGGGAACCTGCATTAAGAAATGCTTCCCATCCCCAGAACGCTTTCCAGGGTGGAGTGGTGTACCCACAGTAGGGAGAAAGAAAATCAAAGAGCAGAAGACAAGAGGGGGCTCAAGGCACTGAGGGGTTAACATAGTTGTCCCTTCAAATCTGATGTGGGTCTGCAGAAAGAAGACCAGGACTGAGTCAAACGTTTGCCTTTGCTTCCAAATCGGCCAGATTTTAAAAACAACTTGATTCCAGTGGCACTGGAACGCTGATTTAACTAATGCTTCCAGCACCATTGAATCCTGTTTTTAAAACGGTCCTACACTGATTAAAAATCAAAAATTCTATAAAATAAAAGTGCATTAGAAAGACATGCATCTCAGGTATTATTCTCAACCTCAAGTTCACGCTCCTTTTGTTCTCCTTGCAGCAAACAAAGGATCAGCTGGACAACATGTTGTTAAACGAGTCCTTGCTGGAGGATTTTAAGGTACGAGAAGGGACGGACGAGGGGGTGGAAGGAGCGTGCACTGTGATTAGAGAAGGGAGGCTCTGCTTCCTGACGGCAGGGAGCTGGGTCTGCTTTCTTCACTTTGAAAAGGAGAAGTGGAAAGATCTTAACTCAGCACATAGCGGGCAGCAAGGGTTATGAGGGGCTCGGTGCTGGGGAGAAGCAGCTGGGAAAGGCAGATCCAGAGGACAAAGTTGTCCTCTCAAGCTAGTTGTAGCAGCAGCCCTTCCTCCCAGTCACCGCCCCACCTTTGGCTCCTTCCCTTAGGGTTATCTGGGTTGCCAAGCTTTGTCTGAGATGATCCAGTTTTACCTGGAAGAGGTGATGCCACAGGCTGAGAACCATGAACCAGGCATCAAAGAGCATGTGAACTCCCTAGGAGAAAAGCTGAAGAATCTCAGGCTGAGGCTGCGGCGCTGTGTGAGTAACAGTTCCTTTCTTGGCAACAATCCCCAGCATACCATCTCCTACGGGCCAGCAGGGCCACTCACATCCAGAGACACACCAAAGATAAGAGTCTGGCAGGACCAGCTAAGAATTCAGAAAGGTGCCCAGAGTCAGATCTTGCGCCTCATTGCTCTCAGGGGTGGGGGTGGCTGCTAGGCATTTACATGTGAAGATTTGCAAACAGCTTTCCTGTTATTTGTGAGTCATTTGTGGGTTATTAACTACTCCCCTCTCTCTTCTTGAAAGGGGCCCAGTGCTTCAGCCAAGGCTCCTCATCCCTTTAGACCTCGCCCCTGGGCTGGGAAGTGAAGACTTCCAAGCAGAGTTAATCATCACTCACCTCTATTCTCAAACTTACGGTCTCCAGCTGTCTGACAGGATTTCCTCTGGTGTTTTAGGAAGGTCCTCAGCCCCAAGCTGGTGTCTATGAATAATTCCCCCAGATAATTTATTTCTCTAACTGAAATGAGACCCTCCATCATTATCAATTTCTTTTGTTCTCTTCCTGATGTTGGAAAATCAGTTGGTCTCTGTTTACAGGATAGGGCTATGCAAAGGGTTTGGTCTCCGTAGCTAGGACTGTGTTTCTGCTCCTCAGATGCTTAGACATCAGCCTTGGTAGCTGCAACAGAAGGACAGGGACAGGATAGAGAGGCAAAAAGGACGGGATGAAGAATGCCTAGCTCAGCACTCCAGGAGACACCAGGGAGCTCTGATAAGGAAACCCAAGATCTGGGTTGTCCTCCAAACGTTGCAAACATCTCAGTGGCTTCCAGGGAAACGCATCTCAACTCCCTGGGCTGTGGTTAAGGGGCCAGTGGGTAAGAACGAGGCAGGGCTCAGTTCTCCCTGGGAGCCATGAAGGGAGGCCCCCTCTTCATGCTACCAGCTTGTTAGTGCCGTAGACTATGGGAGCTAGGAGCTAAAGTGATCACCACTTTCTCTTTTTTTCCACAGCACCGATTTCTTCCCTGTGAAAATAAGAGCAAGGCAGTGGAGCAGGTGAAGAGCACTTTCAGTAAGGTGAGCTTAGATGCGGCAGAGAGGGCTTGCAGGGCACAGTCTCTGCCCGCTCCCCAAAGGGTAGAGGGTGGCAGGTGTCGGCAGGCCCCTCCTTCAACTGGAGGGGCATGGGAACCTGACAAGTGGTGTGACCGCCTCAGCCAGTGAGGAGCCGGCTCCTCAGTTATATTTGTTTTCTGTTAAGTGTCTCTGGGGTTTCTAAATGACTGCACTGTGCCTTTGCAGGCTTGTGGGTTGAGCTGGCCAGCCAGCCTATGAACACAGTGAGCTAGGTGCTGGGGAGAGTGACAAAGGAAACAGAAAGTACAGAAAGTAGCTTGTTGGGAATCTAAGTTGAACTCACACGTGCAGGAAGCTGACACGTGAATGTGAACACACAAACACACCTAGGAGTTCGGCCTGAAAGGAGCAGGAAACAGAATTCTCACCTATCCGTAGTTGATTCAAGCTCATTTTCCATCTGCCCCTTGGACTCCCAAGGTGCCTGAGAATGTCAACTCCCAAACCAAATGGGGTTTCACACTTCCAGCTGCTCGTGAAGCTCCTAAACACCATTTCCCAGAAATCGTGTGGCCTATGCCCTGCATGTGGGCTGAGGCCAGACACTGGGCAGGGTTTCAACACCAGGGGGACATGAATCTCCTGACAGTAAGCCAGAATAGCAGGGCAGGTCCTGCTCAGTGTTGGTGGGAGAGCTCAGATGTGAAGAAGGCACTTTTCTCTCTAGACGCACTGTCGTGCTTTTAAAGTACTTCCTCCAATATCTTTTCATCAAATTTTGCATAAGCACCATGTGAATACATGGCCTTTAAAATTCTTTAAAAGGCAGCATTTTGAAGGCTGTGCTTTGCAAACATCCAGTACAGCAACCCTTTGGACTTCAGGACATAAATTGGAGATCTCCAAAATCTGAGCCAGTGTTCCAGGATAGCCAACCCAGTTGTGTGGTCCCCTTGCTACCTGACAGCTGCGCTCAGGCTGGGAAGAGAAAAGGTCCATGCACTGCCTTTCCTAAGGCAGCTGGACATGTCCTGGGGCTCACCTGACATTATGAATTATGCCTATCCCTGTGCAAGGGAACCCATTTAGTCCTAGATGGGGTTTTAATTAAATGTTTCTTATTTCCCTACCCAGCTTCAAGAGAAAGGTGTCTACAAAGCCATGAGTGAGTTCGACATCTTCATCAACTACATAGAAACCTACATGACAAGGAAGATGAAAGACTGAAATGACCAACATGGCAACTCTTTGAACTCTAGGACATAAATTGGAGATCTCCAAAATCTGAGCCAATGTTCTGGGATAGCCAGCCCAGTTCCTTGGGAAACCTTGTTGTACCTCTCTCCTAGGATATTTATTACCTCTGATACCTCAACTCCCATCTCTATTTATTTACTGAGCTTCTCTGTGAACTATTTAGACAGAAGCCCTATGTTATAATGTTTTTTGATATTTATTACTTTTACCTATGTTTAAGCTGTTTCCATAGGGAGATACCCTATGATATAGGAGCGTTTTAAGAGAAATTATGAGTTATATAAGGGGGAAAAAAGTATTCCTTTGGGAGCGAACTGAAGCTTCCATTCCAAGCCTGACCATGCTTCATAGCTATTGGGCTGTTTTCCCTGACCTCCCTCTAATTTCTCTTGACTCTGGGCCTGGGGCTCCTGGGGTATTACAGACTCTGACCCTCTTAGGAAGAGAAACTAGGGAGCCCTTTGATGATTAACCTTCCAGCAGCTCAGAGGGATTCCCCTGACCTCATCCCCCAACTACTTCATTCTTGAAAGCTGTGGCCAGCTTGTTATTTATAGCAACTTTTAAATTGGTTCTACTAGAACTCAGTTTTAACTAGAAATGATACAATTCCTCTGGGAATGTTAAATTGTTTGTCTGTCTTCATAGCAGATTTTAATTTTGAATAAATAAATGGATGTTATTCAAATCATGTTCTGGTGTCCATTGATTCCTGTCTGACTAAAATTGTTGCCTCATGGCTTCCAAGACAAACGAGAATGGCTAAATGAAATCTGCATTTCAGAGAAAGGAAGCTAGCTACCCTATTCTTGGAGAGAGGGAAGACTCCAAACCAGATGGGGAGAGCTACATTTACACTTCAAAAGCCAACAACAAAGACCACCATGGTCTTCCCATAACTCCATCGTTTAAGGCTCTATCCCGAAATCCTTAAAGATCTTGCAGATTTTCAAGGCTATGGAAGAGAGTCTGTACATATCAAAATTAGAAAAGCAAGCGGGGGAAGTTTTTAGTATGTGTGTGTGCACACGCGCGCACACCCCTGTGTGTATGGAGGGATTCTTTGGTTTTGTTTCTTCAAGCTCCAAGGGTCCAGGGGGTGAATACTAATTTGCCTGGGTTATCCTGATGATTTAGATACAGTGCTGACATGGTCCCTGGAGATTTCAGTACATACAGTTGGTTGTTATCACAATTAAAACCACCTATTGAATCCTCTTTGAGCTGGGATCGGAGACAACAGGGCTATACCCAATAGAGCTGAATATAAGCAAAGTAGCCCAGTTGATAGGATGCCCAAGACTCAAGCTGCTGCTCCTCTGTCCCCTCCATGAGCCCCAGACAATGGCTTCTAGCTGTGCCCGTTGGGAGGGGCATGGTGGCCAGGGAAGCCCTACTCAAAGCCCCATGACTTGGAGGAGATAGGGGAAAGAATGAGCTGAGTAAACACTGGTCCCTCTCACACTCTAGCTCTGCCAAGGCAGCCCTGGCTGGGGGTGGGAGCTGACTAGTTGTGGTCAGTTTTTCGGTAAGACCTGAGTCACTTTGGTTAAAGTAACCATAGGAAGGAAGTGGGAAACATCAAAGCTGAAATTCTGAGATGAAAGGTTAGAAGGAATGCAGGGTAGCAGAAAAGGAAGAGAGAGGGACTGATGCTCTCTCCACTGAGGTTCTCTATACTGAACTGGAGAAGGCCTGAGTCCCCGCCTGGGGACGCCTGGACAGTTAGGACTCCCTGCCAGACAAGTCACACTAACTCAAGTTGCAGGTTGGTGCCTCGTTCAAGGGGAGTAGGCATCTGAAACAAATATAAACTCCCTTGAAGAAAGCCACACAGCTGGCTGGGCATGGTGGCTCACACCTGTAATCCTAGCACTCTTGGAGGCTGAGGTGGGTGGATCACCTGAGCTCAGGAACGCTAGACCAATCTGAGCAAGAGCGAGACCCTACCTCTACAAAAAATAGAAAAACCAGTCAAGCATTCTAGCTGGCACCTATAGTCCCAACTACTTAGGAGGCTGAGGCAAGAGAATCTTTTGAGCCCAAAAGTTTGGTGTTGCTGTGAGCTGTGATGCTATAGCACTCCTACCCAAGGTGACAGAATGAGACCCTGTCTCAAAAAAAAAGCCACACAGCTGATAAGATGTTAACAATAACTACAATGTACTAAGTACTTATTTTGAGCTACTTGGTATTAGGTATGTATCAGGTATATATGGTATGTATACAGCATTATTATTGATATTTTCTATAAGAAGAAAAGACACTCAGAAATTTTTATCAGTGTTATATTTGCTTATTGGGGTTCAATGATCTAACATTCTGTAGATCATATTAGAAGTTCAAATTTTTTGAACTACCATATTAAGTCATCTCTTTAAACTATCACTTGATCATAGATTAATCTAAGAGAATACACAGGTATGGGAGTCGGGTTTGCAGTGTAGGTTAGGCCAGGCATTTCTGGAGGGCTTGTTGACCAGAGTCCAAGTTTCTCAAACCCCTCAAGGCTAGCAATAGCCTGGTGGTCTACACAGGACGTCTGGTACCTAGCAGCCTCAGGGCTAGAATTCTGGGTGTCTTGTTGACCCGAGTCCAGGATCCTAGGCCCCTCCAGCTTTCAGGTGCCATAGATGGCCTGATTGTTATCTGGTGGCCAAGAACAGACTGCCTAGAAAAAGATTATCATCACCTGAGTCCTGCCCAGGCACAGATAGAAATCACTTAAGTGAGTTAAGCAAGTTTATCCCAGATTTGTAAAGTATATGCCATAATTACATGGTGTGACTACATCATTTTTATTTCCTTTGCTTCCCTTCTTCTGACTGTTAATGATTATGTGGGGTGCCTTTCTTTGAATAATTTATGAGTTTTGATTGAATAAAGACACCCCCGGGAGAATGAGCCAGTGCTGCACTTGCCAGCTGCGCTTGAGATGGCTGCTAACTACAGTGTGAGCCTCCCGTAGGCTCCCATCAGTTATTTCATGAGATAACAAGAGTCTGAGTTTTTTCTCGCATCAACTGCCCTCGGTGCAGATCCCAGCAAAGCCTGCAGGGACCATGAACAGAGGGACTTTTACCCCAGTTCTAAGAGGCACCACAAAAAGGGACCTTTACCCCTATTCTAACTTCATCTGCCTACTGATGCAAGCCATTGGTGCTGATCTCCCAAGCCCAGGAAAATGGGAAGAAAGCTGCTCATCCAAGGTGAGGGACACGGGTGTCAGGGAATAGCCCTGGAGACCCTCAGCAAAATCGTACAGTCAGGTTTCAGCCTGTGAGACCTTTCCATTTTTCCTTCTTTCTAGCTGCCTCATTTTAATACTAGACCCTGCCCTTTGCTATATTGCACCAAGCATACCTCTCACATTGTGCCATATCTCTTCAAGTTCATTTTCTGTCTCTCTGGACCTCATACAGCATAAGGCAGTCCGCCCCAAGCTTCTCCTTATAAGGAGATTCCATCTGGGAGTTCACACCTGGTCGGGGGATTATATTGTCCTGCCAGTAGCTAAGAGGCCAGGGAACACTTGCCTTTCCCATCTCCTCTCTCCCACTGATTGTCCCATTTAGCTGGGGAAGGACTGTCTCAACTGAAGGATACTGGCTGCAGCAACTCCCCAGTGTTTCCCGAAGGGGACTGCCCAGAAGGAAGGCGACGCCTTGCCCATTAGGGTGTCAATCAGTTGCTTCATTTTTCAGCCCCTCCCCACTTTTGGCACACATCCCTCTTAATAAAGAAACACAAAAGGGGGGCACTGCCCCTTATCCACCACATTTTATAAGAACCAGGCATGTGTAACAATTTTTGAGGCAGCTATCTTTCACTTCTTTCTATTTCTCCTTTCTTCTTCTATATTTTATTTAATGTTTAGTGTGCTCCGGTTTAAACCATTTTTATTAATATTGGCCAGAGATTTGCAATGGTATCTCACCCCCCCCCCATTTATTTAGTGAGTCAAAGTTCCAACAAGAAATAGAAGGGGTCCTTTTTCTTTCTAATTACCTTCTCATTAAATTCTGTTTTCCGTCTTGTCTCTCTGTAGGGAGGACTTGCTGGTATTAACCTCCCTATATGGAAGACTTGCTGGTATTAACTTCCCGAGGTCCCTCAGATCAATACAAATGGACTGGGTAGTTGTTCATTTCACAGGCCACTGGCCCAATCTCCCTAAACTTAAAGGGAAGGATGAGTGCCAAAGGACTACTGGCCTTGGACGCCTTGGGGAGATCGAATATGGGGACAGACCTGTAAGATATCTTTCCATGGCCACTTTACTTTCACTTTTTTCCCCTCTTCTCTCTAGCCAATTCATGTAAAAATGGAATGGTCTCTTTCCTGAAAACAATGTAATCATAAACCGCAGCTTCAGGGCCTATTCCAGGCCACTGATTGCAAGGTGTCTCTCTTTTGACTCCCTCCTGTCTGACTTAGATCCTGACATTAAGGAAGAACATTTTATCTTAACAGTGCACTTCGATTCCCAGTTAATCCCTGCTATTTGGCACAAACTCCAAAAGCTTATAAAAGGGCCTCAACTTTACAAGTGTTAGAAATCTTTCAGAGACAGAGAACACCTAGAGGCTTTCTCCCCAGACAAGAAAAATGATTAAGCCTCTAGTAACATTCTCTCTATTAACACCAAGGCCACTGCCTCTGTTCTCCCTGAATTTTAGAATCTCTATTTTCTTCTCCTATCTCCATCTCTGGAGTAGAAGATAAAATACAATCCCTTGTGTATTCCACAGCTTTTGTGCTGCTAAGAGAGTAAATCTAATTGGCTTAACTTACACTTATAATTTGTTTTTAGTGGAAGGTATTAATATACCAATTGGAGGACTTTTTGTAAAACCTAACGCCCATCTGTGGGGCCCCCTCCTCCAGAAACAGCTGGATGCATCATTGGCAGATCCATATAATTAACTTGTGATATTTTAGTACTACTTACATATTTCCCTCTTATTATAAAGGCCAAACTCAAGTAACCCTCCTCATAAAAGTTGGTGTGAACTTCAACTGCTTCCCATAACTCAATTTAATCCTATTGCTTCCATTCCCATAAAAGAAGCTCTGACTGTTTTTATTGTCGTATCAGGAAAAAAAACAGGCAAGGGCATAGTGACTTGGAATGGAGAGAAGTAATGGAAACATTCTCTCAGGACT